ATTTGGATCTATATATGATGGACTTTATCTAAAATTCATTGTTTGCTGTAAGTATTTAGAGGTAACAAATCCATGGGACCCATTGACTTTGAGGGTCCAAATCCGTTTGCCCCACGGACTTGAAAATCCCACCTCTTTGGGTGAGAATTGATTATGGACTTTGAAATCTATCATATTTTATCAAACCTACCCCTCATTTTTTCTTTCTCTTCTTATATAATTGAGGACAATAAAAATAAGTTACACTTCATACATACAAATTTAACTAATAAAATCCATCATGAAATCCATCAAACAAACAATGGTGTTTATAAAATCCATAATGCACCAAAACCATCATATATTCATGGTTTTTCAAAATCCAAATTATACAAAAACCTCCATTTTTCAAATCCACGAAGCAAACGCTTAGTAATCGTAACACCTTGTTTGTGGGAACCATCATACATGGCTCATGTAGGGAATTTTCAATATAGGTCTAGTGTATAGGCTTAGCAAAAGTGTTATTAAAATACTGCAGATACCACTAATCTATGAGAATTGAGAGAGATATATCACTTAAGAAATAACAGCACGCCGGGTACCACTTAAGTAATTGAATTGTGCATCCTTTTAAAATTTTGTCTCATTACCGTTAACAAATAATAAAGTATTATTTTATATAAAATATTAAAATAATATAGAAAAAAAAAAGTTTCCCTCTTCTATATTCCAGTCACTATTACAATTGTTCACACCCCATAACCTAGGGCCGCCGCCGTTCTTCTCCTGGCCTCCTCGCTTCCTCCGCTTCACTACCATATCGAAGAAGAAGCATCCGACTATTCATCCTCCTCCTTCCTCGTTCATGTAGCCACAATCGTAGCCGAACGAGGTCCTGAAACTCTAATGAAGAAACCCCTGGAATTGGAGAGACAGACGACCAGGGAACAAAAAGATTGAACTCGATATGGACTAGCTAGAGCATTCGTCGCGCCCGCGTCATTGAACTCGGCGGTGACTCTGAAGAACCAGTTATACCAAACTCAGCAACAATGGGGAATACAGGTGAGGGTTCGACGGGAACGTTGAGCGCCTCTTACCGTGTTTCCCGCTATTCTCTTTCTACCAGGACTGAATTCGGCTACGGTTGTGGTATTACACTACAACAAAAGTTGCTTTTTTAACCAATTGTGCTTTGACCAAAAAAAATTGGTCACCAACTGTTAGTCATTTGCTACCAATCAGGTCTGGAGGCTAACATATCCGCACAACAATTCGTTCAATGAAAAAAATAATTTCACAACCAAAATCAACAATATAATTTATAGCTGAAAAGTAAAATCGCAACCCCCATTCAAATTTTCCTGCGCATAGAGTGATTTTAGGAGTCTGACGTGGCAGGGTGGTTACGCGGGATTAAATTAAAAATTCCCGCCTAACAGGAGAGATAAGAAACCGTCGGTTCCCACTACTTTTTTTGCGGCTGAAATCATCTTCCATTTTTTCCGGGGTTATCTACGTTTTGCTTTCTCCTTCCCGCAGCACGGCAGGATATCCATTTCTCAGCGGACAATTTTGGGAACAGGGACTGACGCTTGCTGCTCAGCAGAGGAAGGCATTGACGGCCCGCTGATGTGGAGTTTACCGTGCCGAGATTCTGCAGTTTGGAACGAGCAGCGAACACCTGATTGAGCGAGGAAGACCTGCGGCTAATTGACGGTGAATTCCCCAGCCAACCGGCGAATCGAAGGTGAGTCATGATTTGTGGTATTTGTTTACCCCCGCTGATTCGAACAATCGGATTTGGTAGTTATGCGGTGAACGATTCTCCAGCCAACCGCCGATTTGAAGGGGAGGCGAGATTGTTTCGGTTAGTTTGCTCCTGCTGCTTCTCTCAATCCGGATTAGGTAGTTCTGCGTTGAACCCTTGCCAGCCAACCGACGATTTGAAGGGGAGTCAGTAATTTTTTCTGTTTGTTTTGCCCGGTTGCTTCGCGCTGTCAGATATGTTAGTCTGATATATATGCGTTTTGGGGAAGCCCGCAATTCCTCTATTCGCAATTGGATTTGGTAGTCTGATCTGCATATTACCTATTATTGTTTCCATCATTTACTTCGCTTATCTTTAGTTTTATCTGATTGAGTTTCCATGTGTACCCAGCTAAATTGATAGGCCAACCCTTCCTGTACCTCCTGTGTCCTTATCGCAGCTTAGAAGGAGACCACGTCTTCGGCGAATTCGGCGACTACAAGCCCCTCGAAGCCAAGGAAAATCGGGGAAACCAGGGGAGTCGAGTTCCAAAGAAGGCATAAATAATTGAGCTCTGGTTTATATCCCAGCTGCAACTGGTAGGTTTCTCGCCCTCTTTCATTGATATTCCATTTCAGTCTCCTTTATGTTCCGGATATTTAGTTCTAAATTTGGGTTTAGCCCATCGTACTTGATAGATTTGGTTCATCATCTTCTCCAATTCTTTTCTGATCAAAGAGACGACGAAACTAAATTATGATTACTGAGAGTGAACCATACAAGAAGAAAACGAGCTTTGTATTCGCATAAGGAGAAAAGGCGAGGGATGGGTTAGCGGCGGCGGTGGGTTTCTGACTCTCTTTCGTTAATATTCACTTTCTGACTTCTTATTTAGTGTGTTGATTTTTGGGTCTACGTTATGATTTTTCCTTACTATACTACATGGATTTGGTTCATCATTTTTGCCCGTTCTTTCAGATTGAAGGAACGACGACGGGAACTCGATGATGGCAGGAGAAAGTGGAAAATGAGCGTTGGGTTTGCAGAGGAAAGAATAAGGATGATTAAGTTAGCGGAGTAGAAAGAAGGCAAAGCCAGGTAGTTCAAGTTTGGCGACTTCCTTTCAGTTTGATTGGGTGTTTGTGATAAGTCTTAGTTTGGTCAACATATGAGGACTTTCATGAATACAAAAAAGGCTAAGAGGAAGAAGAAGAAGAAGAAGCAACAACAGAGAATTAATTTTCCCTGGTCAAATCCCCTGGTCGCAGTTTACAAAGACATAGAAGGCAAAGAGAACGGTAGTGGAAGGAGGAATAAGAAGACGCACAAAATCGAAAAGGTGAAGAACTCTATTACGATTGTGAAGGAATAATGAAATCGACATGGTGGTGACCTTCTCTCTTTGCTTCTGTTTTTTTTTGTTTAATTTCTTGTGATTTATTCGCAGGTTAATGAGCTTATGCCAGTTTTGGGTACTTACCTTCCAAATAGCACATTAGGAAGCTTTCACTTGCCAAGTTCAACTTATTAATCAAGTGCTTGCCATTAATGGTGGTTTGGATGTGTTTGGCTCCATTTTATATCTTCCAGACCTCGCGGTTTGAGGAACAAATTTTATTCATTAAACACTATTTGAGGATTGAATGCTTTTTCCTATTAAGAAATACTATAACTATGTTGATTTTTGTTATTTATTATGTGTGTTTTGTGTTATAATTGAAGACATACATGTTGAACTTTAGATATAATAATATTTTATACGAGACGGGTATTATCCATGGGTATCCGAAAACCATGGGTATGGGGATGAGTTTGCAAAACCTCCCTCTGCATGGGTATGGGGCGGATATGGGTTTGGGTATTTGGTAATGGTAATGGGGATGGGGATGGTTTAGGCAAACCCGCCCCAACCATCCTTAGCGACGGCTGGGTTTCATCGGTGGAGGGATACAGAAGGGAGTTGGAGAAATATTAGCTTCTACCCACTAATATTAGTTTCAACCCACTAATTAATTCTTAAAACAACAGCTACTTCGATGACTATGTTCTGTGCTAATATGGATGATTGCTAAGTGGGTTATTAATGTTTACTTCCTGATCTGTTGGACATTTAATAACTCACTTTTGTGCATATACCTTATAACTATGCCACATGCTAGCTCATTTTGTTATGGGTTGTTAATTGCAAGGACCAACATAGGCGAAAAGATAATTGTGACCAGATCACATACAGATTTCTCATATTGGGAATCGCGTTTTAATCAATAAACCATGAGATTGCCAGAGAATCTTGAAGATGACATGTTTTTAATCAACTACTAATAATGTATTGTATGTTGGCTAATATGGCACCATGATAATTCTTCCCAGGTTTGTTGTTTGGATGGTTTTACTGTTTTCTTTACTTTTATGTCTTTCCCATCGGTCTCTTTGAATGCTCGATTTACAAATCTAATCTATGGATGTCACTTATTCCAAATTAATGAGGACCAACAAATTTCAAATTCGATAGCAAAACTTTTCATCCTTGACCTTTGATTTGATTAGAGTTTTAGCACCTACTTCCAAATTTAGGACTTAGACAAATCTCGCATGTGTTGAATTTAGATACCAAATACATAACTGAAATATATGATCCAAAACGATGTTCACATTTGTTATTGAATATCAAATTGGTTTTCTTTCTTTATGAAGTCATGAATCTTTTTTCATAAAATCCCATTTTCACGACAAACGATTGTATATTTGAATCAACAAGTGTTTTATTTAATAAAATTTCAAATAAATACTTCAAATATTTGAGATTTTGGTCAATATAATAGCTTGGACTATCCTTTTACGTCATTGTCAACTCTTAAAACGACAAATATTTTTCGTGAATCATATAAAATTAAAGATCCCAAATCAAGTACATCATAAATATTGATAAAATAAATTATACGAAATAGAATGAAATTGATCCGACCAACGGGTCGGGTAAAAGCTAGTATTTTAAGACAACCAAATAAAATAGTAGTAAAATTGTCTGGTCAAAAGAAAAGATCAGAAACCCATAAAAAGTCAAGGAATGGGATTCAAAGAAAGCAAAATAAATCTGAAGTGACCAAATAGTTTGGTCAAAAATGGTAAAAGTTCTCGCATCCAAGTACTTAATCGTAAATTTAAATCCTGCCTTCTCTTGTACTCTCGCGCCGAACTCACAGCCTGTTCTCTGATCGACTCCATTATCCCATCCAAAACCCTAATTGACTCGATCTCAGAATTGTCCATCAATAGAACTTTCACTCTGCTTCTGAGTAGCATCCTCCATGGAAATTGTAAGGCGAGCTCAAACATCCTGCCGAGCAGGCTCGTTCGGGCCATAAGCGAATTTGCAAGCCCCACCATCACAGAGGATGAACTTGCGAAGCGGGTCGCGAAATGTCAGTTGAGAGCTGTCTGCCTCCGCCGCAATGAACCTCTGTAGCTGCTTCTCCCCGTCGCCACTGGTGGATTCCTTATTACTCATTGTTGCCCTGGTAAGTTCCCTACATTTCCTCTATTATTCCCCCATCGCTGCCCTCGACTCACTCTCCAATGCACTCTAGCTCTCAGCTTCCTCCCGTCGTCAGCGACAACAGATTCGTCGATAGAGTGATGTTCTTGAACGGAATTGAGACATGGCTAAAGAATCGTCACCGTTCAGCAGAACGCCTTGTTTATGCATTTGCTTTTTGGTAATTCTCTCTCAGTTTACCGGGCTATGCACTCTGTAAATTGCTCGCTCAAACTCCTTCAAACTTAGAATTCTTATTTCTTCATTGAATCTAAGAAAGATTTTATGAGAGTCTGTTGCTGATTGAAATTTCTTCGGTGGAATTCGTAGATTTGTGTTTGATGAGCTGATCTATCATCAACTACAGAGTGAGGTGTTCGTTTAACCATCCTCGTGATCCAATTAAGTGCGGTAAGCTTGCCAATGGTTGCTTGAGACACAATGATTGTTGTTTCTCTTCCAGTCAGTTGCTATCTCGCTGTTTTCTCAATTGAGGATTGGAAAATGGTTTTGTTTGGTTTGCCTAGCTTGAGTTAATACATAAAGTGATCTGTTTCTTCTGTAGTTGACAAGGTGTTTTGGATTTCACATTTGTATGTGAATTGATTATTGATAGCAACCCATTCGGATTGGTGGGATTTTGGAGTTAATTGCTTTAATTATGTTATGTTCTTATTTATGTTAGCTTGTTTAGGGTTAGTACGTATGATAGTTGCATGGGCCGAGTAAGTAGTTAGGTTAGAAGTTAGCTCGTCTTTAGGTGGCCGAGTGGCTTAGGTGTCCTAGTAGGGTTTGGCTAAAGTTAGGGTTACGTATTAGGTTTAGTTGCCTATAAATATGTAACTATGGCATTAGTCCAGGGAATTAATTAATCAATCAATAATAAACCTAAAAACAGTCTTTCGACACTTTACGTCGTACTCTCGCTTGTGAGTTACAAGCAAACCCTAACTCGATAGCAACAGGTTGCTATCAATTATCTACTTGGAGCTGCTATAGCTGGCAGAGGGAGTTCCCTGAACAAATCTGCTTCAGTTGGTTATATCCTATATGTTTCCAGTTTGATGTGTTATAGAAATTATAAGTGCTAATAGTCACTCAACATTTGCAGTACTATATGAGGACTGAGAGTGGTAAAATTTATCTTTCTTGCAAATACCACCACTGGAAGCAGTGTACTGGTGAGTTGCGACTCTATATTATTATGGTTACCCTCCGATTTGTATATCTTTACCTTGATGGGATAATCATTGTTGAATCAGATACGTAAAATAAGAATCAGTTCCACACAGTGTCCACATGATATAGCTCGAGGAGCAGATGCAAGCAATTGAAAGGTGAAATAGAGAGCACTTAAACTCAACCTTGCTCTTTTCTTAATTTGCAGAGGTGAGGAGTATTGCCATATGCTTGATAGGACGAAAAGATAAATTTGAACCATATATATACATATGCTTTAAAGTTGTTAATTTAATGCCCATGTTGTAGATAAAACTTGAATCACCATATGCAACTCAGGTTATTATCCTGGTTAGAAGTACGTTCCCCTGTTATGCAGTGTGATCTTAGAATGCAGACCAATCGAAATAACTTAACTTGAGCACAAGATTAAACCGCTAGAAGACCAACTTGTAGGCCTGTGTGTCCCAACTGGTAGTGAAAGAGCAGTTCATCAAATATACCCTTAAGACAGAGTAATCCGAACCAGTCTCGGGTTTTGACGGGGTCCGACATGCACATGGAACTCAAAGCTGTGAGCAGGACTATGATATGAGTATGAGTGCTTTGGTGGCAGAGGTTCAGTTTCGTCATTATCATGGTGAAATTGCAGTTGGGAAGAAGGAAAAGCACATTTGTCATTTCACTTTGTTTCATTTCAGACTCATAGTAAGTGAAGTTACTGCCCTTTGAGTCGGCGCAAACTTATTATGATTGTTTGTGTGCTTTCATAGTCATTATGGTATCGTAGTATATGTTGTCATCTAATAGTAGAATCTCGTATGATGTATTGTTTTATTTCTGTTGGAAGTAAAACGGTGCCCGATAAAAGCAAGAGTCGTTTGTGCTGTCAATGGCGGTCGGATAAGTTAGAGCTATATATATAGTTATTCCGAAAAAGATATTAATTTATTGTTTCAGTAGATAAACATTGAATGACAGGATGGTACTTAGCACAAATGACTCAGCATGCGGACATATTTCTAATCAGTGTCGACCTCTTGATTCTAGTGCTCTCTATCAATGTGAGGAGCTCTGTTTCTTCTGTTCTTTTCTGGAGATATCCATCATCTCCTAGAAGCTCTAGTTTGACTCAGTAACACCTACTATGATTGTTTGTATGCTCTCGTAATTGTCATGATGTTGTCATCGTGATAGAAGAACTTGTCGGATGCAATCTTTTCTTTCTATAGAAATAAATCAGTGCCTAATAAAGTTTGAGTTGCTTATGTTATTATCAACTAAAAGGATAAGTTTGAAGGTGTGTTTAAAAGAGCCTTTTATTGTCTTGAAGATGAAGATTCTTGCACAAACTAATTGTTCCATTCTGGTGTAATTGTCATTAATGGAAGGACACAATAATGAAATTGCTCTTGGAAAGAAGTAATTATCGAGAGGGTTGTGTCTTTCTGGTACTTCGCACTCGCACACCAGGCTGCGGTCCGTGGACTCCACGTCTGTCCCGTTGCATTTACCCTTGTAGAACCCAAACTGGAGCTGGGCTTGTACTCGATATGCTGTCAGGCCCAATAGAACCACCATGAGGCCAATTTAACTATCCCGACTTGACATTAATTACCCGCTGACCACCTGAGCTTGAAGCTAATGTGCCAGATAAGTTCAAACCTACATACAATTATGATTTCTGAATGTTTCCGAAGTCAGTAGTGTTTTCATAGATTTTTGCAGAGTATACTCTTGCCCCCTATAATGTTGGTTTGGTGTCGTAGCAATATTAAGATGTTAGTAATGGTTTTGGGTTTTAGCCGTGTTTTAAATTCATTGTGGAGTTCTTTCTTGATAGACTACAAATAGTAAGGGGGAATTCATAGACAACAGCTAACACTGATGTTTGATGTATTAAGGTGGAAATTTCAGGGTTAGTCCATGCAAGGACAAGGAGGTCAAATGTTGATCAGTGACTGAATGGAGAAAATTTTGGATAAAGAGAATGTAAAAGTTGGCACCTTTCAATGTTTTTGGTTGGTGTTGTCAAGGATGGACATGAGAAGAAGAGAATTAGCCTTGAGTAGTAGTGATTTTGATGTTACACTAGTGGCTTCACTAGTAGCAGTATTGGTTTAAGTCCACCTGTGATTTGCCAATGCTACTAGAAGCAAGTAGTAGTGATTCTGTTGTTACAGTAGTGCTTTCACTGGCAGTAGTAGTGGTTTTCTAATCCATGTAGTAGTGGTTGAGTCCAGTTGTGGTTTGCTAATGCTGCTAGAGACTAGTAGTGTTTTTGTTGTGACAGTAGTGGTTCACTTGGCATTTGAGTACAAAAGGTGGTTCCTAATTTTTTTAGGTGTTAATGAGTGATTCATTACCTACTACGTAGTGATTTTCGAACTGATTGAGGTAGTGGTTTCACTAGTTGTGACTGTAGTTTTATGCAATATTGTCACCATAGTCAGTAGTGTTTGGTTGGAAAACACTACCACAAACCCTTTCCTATAACTACTTCTCATAACTTTCTGTTTAAATGAATTTAGTTAGAAAACACTGCTACTGCCATTGGAATTGCTACAATCAAACTAAGGCTGCACAACTGGAATGAATTGATTGAATTATTGTTTCCTGGGGAAAAACTCTCCAAGTTGGATTGCAACGGTCTCCATTGGAAATCCCAACAAATCCGGCCCACTCCCCACTAAATTCAGCATTAAATCGGCTTTTCAAATTTTTTGCCCTGTCTTCCTTTTCTGCCCTTTTTATATTCGTAGCAATTAAATTTAAAAGCTAGTTATCACGGTACTAACCATCTATAGGGTTAGCACCCTATCCTCTCCCAATATGATAGCATTCGACTACTTGGCTCCTATAGCAAGTGTAATGACCGAGCTGGTAGTTGAAGTATAATAATATTGTTGTAATTTAATAATAAAGTGAAAGAAGAGTCCTTCCATAAAAACAAACCTAACTATTCTCTTATATTTTTATTAAAATTTCCAGCCATGTTGTGTTAGTTAATTAATAGGATAATGGGGTGGCGGCAGATTTTTTTTTGTTAGCTGTTTTTTATTTAATATTATTTTTATTTCTAATAATTAAGATGACAAAATTACCTTTCCTACAATCACTCAGAAGGCTAGAAAATTAAAATGAAAGGTGTTTTGATGGAGAACCTCCATATAATAGTGTGATGTGATGATGATGATGATGATTAAAATAAAGTCTTGGAACTACATGTTTAGACATTAGCAACAACCGTGGATGCACAATTAAAAAAAATTATCGAACGAATCAACAAATCATATTGGTAAACAATTATCAATGACTTGTGATTACTAGATACCACAAACTTAAATACCACTCTTCACTCATCTACAGTATCATTTATAGCTGAAAAGTAAAACTGCTACCTCCATTTAAAATTTCCTGCTCTTAGAGTGATTTTCTGAAGCTGACGTGGCAACCCATTTAGGCGGGATATCATTACTCATTCCACTTGCTCTCTTCCATCAGCCGTTCCCGTAAGTCCGTAAACCATCCTCCCCGTATTTCTGTCCTTCCTCCTTCCAGTTGCTCTCTTCCTCTCTCCCGATTGCATTTCACAGATGTGCAATTCCAAAACCGTTCGATGGAGTTATGCAGAGCGCGTTTGTTCCCCTTGCTCGATTGGAGCCGACATTCCTGCATCGCTGAAAGTCTCTAATATGGGAATCAACGATTCATATGCAGAAAAATGAGTCCAATCCCTAAGTGATCATCAGCCATAGGGGAATTGACAGGGAAGCTATTGTGCACATTACCCTTTCCTCTACTGGGCGGAATCATCAGGAAACCTAATTGACAGGGAAGCTATTGTGCACATTACCCTTTCCTCTACTGGGCGGAATCATCAGGAAACCTAGCTACCTTACAGCCTTGCTCATATGAGCGGCTGGTTCTCGGGTGCGAGCAAAGAGAGAAGAGAAGAAGAAGGAATGGGTATTCTAGAGAAGTTGAAGAGCAAATTTCAAGGGTTTCAGTTGATAGGCTCAGAGTGGCGGTCGTAGAGCAGGCGAGAGAAGTAACGGAGACGGGAAGGGCGAGGGGGATGGACAGACGATTAAGGTTGCTAATTCTCACAAGAGGACCCAATCTTTGGCGTATGTTGATGGATCGTTAAGAGGTTACAATTTATTTTTACATTAAGAGTAGCTTAAATTTGTAACGCGAGGTAAACTTACCTGTTCTACGCCTTTTAGTTGTATTCGTCTTTCCCAATTTCATTTGACGGACTGCCGGCCCCAAACTGTGCGATGAATCTCTACCGGTTTTTTTAACTCTGTTTATGCAAATCCTTATAGTAAAAGTGTGTGTACTATGTAGGCCACACCAGTCTTTGAGGAAGAGATGAATGCTCAAAGGTGAATGCTTCTCGGCTCCTTGGTTCCTCGACAAACCACTGTTGGCGTCCTTGATCTGGTGTTGGCAACTACATGATTGCCAGGTGAGTTCTTGAGATAATCATATACTTTAGAATTGTCAGTCGGCGAAAAAGGATACCAATCGATTTGGCAGTGGGAATGATTTTTTAACTTCAGTTTACTTTAGTCTTTCGACCATTCGTCATTTTCCTCCTACTGTGCATCATCGGATTTCATTCAAGTAAGTGCTCTCCTCATTCAGTTGCTTTCTTTGACCATCGATATGCAAAACCGAGTACAAATAGTGGGAGCGACATAATCAGCCTTTGTGTTGTGAATAGTTTGGTTCCCCTCAGTCTGCCTTATCGTAATGTCCGGTGTGGATATCGGTGGAGATTGTATCTTCTTAAAGAAATCGTCAACTAGGGTTAC